TCTGGTCTACCCAGTGCTTCTACCTGGCTAACCAGAAACTGCTCAGTCACAGCCTGAAATCACACTGAAGCTAAAGCTCATGAAAGATAGTCTTGGTTATGACACTTCAAAGTCAGACCACAAACCTGCTGCCAGGAAGCACAAAGCCAGCAACTGCAGAGAAGGCATTCTAGCAGCAGCAGTGCAGGCGCTGCTGTACCAGCACACCCCATATATGGCTAGATTGCCCATTTACTTGTGGGAAGTAAGGGACCAGTTTGGGCTTAGAGATTTGTTTAGTAAATTTAAAAATGGATTCTGGATAATTTTAATAAAAAGTTTTACAAGCCACAACTTTCCTAAAGGGAGGTACACAGAAAAATAACTTCATGTACATTTTTAACACCAATTTTAATACTTTTTTATAACAGATCCAATAGGTGTTTCCAAAACCTTAACATTTCATGACAAAAATAAGACGCAAAGGTTACAAAACCGTAAATGTATTCAGTTTAGAACAGATTGCTTATCTTTCTAGCTGGAAACAAAGGGGGGTATTACTGTAAAATTACAAAAGAAGATAAACAGTTTAATCTTGGATTTTACTATACAGTCTACCTCAGGTTTTTATGAAGTTGTTAACCGAATACATTTTCTACCACCTAACGAAAACTGAGGCTGGTTTAAGACTTATTAATAGAGGAGTGTGACACTTAAAAGAGTGTCCCAATTAAAAGAAATATACCAAACATTCATTTCCATGTTTTTCACTTATTTCATAAAAACACAAGTTCTATAAATATTGGACCACTAGTCTAAAAATCTGGACAGGCAGGCTTCAAATATATATCTCACAGTATACAAATAACCATAAAACTTATTTATAAAAGGAAACAAAATAGTTCAATAAAAATATTGAGTGAGCCAACATGGAAACACAAAGATCTGGAAGAATGGGTCCTGAGTCTTCTAAGTCTGGGAAAATGAACTTCCACATATGATTCAGCGAGAAGCGTTTGTCCTACAAAGATGGACCGGGCATGTGTGCAGTGAGTACTCCAGAGGAGCACATGTGTCTGGGCTACCACAGCTGTCTAAGTTCCAAGCAGTTGGCAGTTGGATGGAACCTTGATAATTCCGGCTAGTAAAGAAAGGAAGGATATTCTAGTGGAGAAAAAGAGATGACAGATAAGCACAGAAATAAAAAAAGATCTAGTTTTAATGAAAGTAGGTCCACCAATTCCACAGCTATGAAACATAAGTGAGTAAGTTTAAACCTACATTAAAAGGATAGGCAAAACACAGGACTGTTAGACTTTCTGAAATCTGTATGCATCCTGTACTGAAACATACATACATATACATATGAAGCTAGGAAGAAAAATCAATGCATGGAACAGGTTAATAATCAAACTAGGAAAAAAGAATTAATACAAAATTAATTCTGGAGAAATGACAGAAGATTGGGTGGACACATATACACAGAAAAGAATGAGTAAATTATAACTAAAATGTTTAAATTTATCTTGGGATTGATGACATTAACAGAAACAGAGGTGTCAATGAGAAGATGGAGCTTAGTGAGGAACAATGGTTTAGTCTTAATTCAAGGCTGAAATTCATGATGATTTGACACTAAAGCTGAATATTCAGATTGTGTAAAAAGTATTCTATACAATCTCAAGACATGAAAAAATACAGTGATAAAAATTATAAAACTCAATTATAATTACAAAAAACAAACAAACAAACAAACAAAAAACCCCCCCAAAAAACCAAAAAAACACAAACGCCAAACCTCTGAACAGTAAAAATCCATTCAAGAAACGTTTTGTGAAAACAAAGTAGCTGTCAACCTATGGCTAAGGAAACAGCTCTGAATATACATGATTACTAATGATATCTATTTTTAGTTAAAAATTACAACCTAGTTATATTTCATTTTATCAGTAAGTTGGGTGCTGCAGAAGAACGGGAACCAGAAATTGACTTGAAAACCACTGGCACAGAGGAACAAGTTAAGATTTCTAAGGTTAAAATAAAAAAGCTAAACTTCAAATCATCCCTCTAGCACTTTAGGCACTCTAGTAAGGATCTGCCAAAGGCACTCTACCCATAGCCCAATAGATCTTAAAATGTTCACAAAGCACACTGATTAATCACGTTATGAATAAAACTCTGCAGGTGACACTGCCAACTAACAAAACTGCAACTGTTTTCTAGATCTCAGGCTTAGAAAAATCAGAGCAGCATCCTACCTACACTTGAAAGAGGAGGAAGAGTACTCCAGAGATCAAGAGAGAAATATGCTTTCTCTCCTTTTGGATGGCATTTCTATGCCAAAGAGATGAAGAGCAGTAACTGAGTTTCCATAGCTTTCAGTGAGAGCTCAATGAATTCAAGGAAAAGAGTGGGTGAATCTGTGCGTTGTGAAGTAGCCAAAGCTTTTCTCCTGTTAACAAAACTTAGGCTACTTCATCCAGACTAAAAAGGAGTGAATGTGCAAAGAGACTAAAGAAAAATTACATTGGTAAATCATTTTAGTTTTATTTTATGATCTTTTCAGAGTATTAAAATATACAAGAACTAGTCACTAAATCAGTATGTCATTTCACAGTTAGCTAATGAAGATAAATGTCATACATGAGATTTCTCAAAACCTTAAAGTCCCATGAAGAGGAGGATGAGTTCTATTTCTCACCTCTTACTAACTGGTGTCCAAACTTGCCCAAAATGAAGTCCTTGTCTTCAGTTATATTGGAAAACAAGTTCAAGATAATTAAGTACAATAGAGAAAACACAATAAACATTTCAATGGTTCATCTTTTTTTTATGATGTATTTATTTTATGTGCATTGGTATTTTGTCTGCATGTATGTCCAGAAGAGAGTGCAACTGGAGTTACAGACAGTTATGAACTGCCATTGTGGGTGCTGGGAATTGAACTCAGGTCCTCTAGAACAGCTATTGACTGCTCTTAGCTGCTGAGCCATCTCTCTAGACCTCTTTAAGATGCTGGCTTCACTGATTTAAGGAATATGCAGACAACTCAGAAAAAGGTTTTATCCAACTGCAAATAAAAAGGCTTTATACAAGTGGGACAAACTTAGAAACGTTTTCTTACGTGTTTGTCAGCTCAAACAAAATACTCAATAATAAAGACGATACCAACATTCACCAAACTACCGAATTCAATTAATCAAGAATATATCAGTAAGTCTCTTTAAATAAGTAAAACTGAGAAACACAAGTCTTCAAAAGCCAATTTCGTGTTTTCTACTATCTAAACCAGCACTGCAATTTTATTTAAAAAAAAAAAAAAATTAGACACTATCCTCTTCCTCCAAGCTAATACAATTCTCCACACAGAAGCAACTTTAGTTTCTACTTAGCAGTGTTAGAAAACACACTGATTCGAACCATTAACCAATTATTCTGACATACAGTAAGTGTGTTTCAGAGCCACTTTCACACTAAAATTTGCCAAGGACACTTGAAAGAAACTTGAAGGTTTTTTTTTTTTCATTTTATATAATTACATTAATCTTAATGCCAAAGTTGCTTTCCTTCTCCAAACCATGCTTTAGGCATACGAAGTTTGCACTACATTAGAGAACCATGATATATTTTCACTGGGTGCCATTACAAATTCCAGATCTGTCCTGCAAATTGTCAGTCATTTCAGTCCTTCCAGTCAACTTTGTAAACAAAGGCTACAAGTTTGATAAGCAAATTTGATTAAATAAAACTTTAAATGGTCATCACTTATTAAAGCAGGAAGCAATAAAAGGAAAATACTTCCGTACTGTGTGTTTTGAAAATATATAAAGTTAACAGTCACAAAATATAAAGTTTATATATAAAGTGTGAAGCCTTAAGTTTCAACCTCTCAAACGAGTTTTTAACCACGGTATTATTTTTTAAAAAAATACTATGATCTTTCACACAACCAAGATGAGTTTGAGAGCCAGAAAAGTATTTTTCATTGTAAGTTTTCTAGTAATTAAGTTGCTTAATATGAAAATAGACAGAATCTATGTCATGGCACCTATTACCAGCACTTAAAACTTGCTTTTCAAGCAGAACTCTAAGAGTTTTGTTGCTTTTGGCTTGTTAAAGGCAAAGCAACATTATCTCTGGATTGCCAATAGTTTCTCCTTATTTGGCTAACATTGAGAGATCCCAATCGGACTACTATAAAACTTTAACATGCACAAAGCACCCATTTTGAGAAAAGGTTGTGATTAGCTTTCTTTTTTACCCCCTCACCCCAAAAGAAAAATCAAAGTTTGGCAACTGTCTTTGGGGAGTGCACAGTGTTTATTCTCCTCTTTCTAGCCCCAGTGCGCACTCTAGAGCCATGGCTCAGGGATCTGTGACACTGCGACAAACTCTTCGAGTACAGGGATCTATAGACTCTAGTTAAGAGGTGGGCAAACCCACTGGGAAGGCTTCCTTATCCGGTACACTACCATCCCCTCCCCTTCAGCCACTGCAGATTAGCTAATTACACCCCGTTTTTCCCCTCCCCAGTGACCAAGAGTAATAAAGGAGAAAACAGGAAATCGTTCGCTCAGGGCACCCGGCTTAGAGCTCCTGATTACTATTATTATCATCATCATTTGTAATCAAGTCTTAAGAAGTACACCAAAACCAACGTCCACCTACAGGCCCAAGGGGTCCATCTGCCCCAAGAGTCCCCACCGCTCCCTTGTTTAGTGGATTTCAACAAACCCCCCCCCCCCCCCCCCCCTCCACAGTATATCACTGACACCCGGCCTCGACACAACCCATTACACGCCTGCTCGTCTCGACCCAGAGTACCAGACACACGTCCACAAATGGCCCTGGGGCCCCCAGAAGACCACAGGCCATTCTGCCCCGCGCCCGGGAAATCGGCTCGCAAACTGCACAGGCAGCGGCTCCGAAGGGGGCCCTGGAGCCCCGCGCCCAGCCTCCCCGGACGGAGCCGCCCCCTCACCCGCAGCAGGGAGTCGCCCGCCACCCCCCGGCCTCAGCACCGGAGCCCGCGAAGGCCCGGGGCGCGAGCACGACGCGGGCCCTGCGGGGTCGGAGCGAGGGCGGCGGGCACACAGACCTGGTGCAGGGCGGTGAGCCCGTCCACATTGGCGTAATTGATGTCGGCTCCGCGGTGCAGCAGCTTGAGGACCTCGTCCGTGTCGCCGCTGGAGCAGGCGGCCAGGAAGACGGCGCCATCGTCGAACTTCACCTTGGTCTTCTGGCGCTTCACCACGGGCGGCTCGAGGTCCGTCTCCGAGCCGATCCAGCGCTTCAGCTGCTCGTTCCGCTTCTGCTTCGCGTCCGCCATCTTCATCCCCTCTCCTGCCGCCGGCTCTTCTTATCGCGAGCTGGGGGAAGGGGGCGGCGGCGAGGGAAGGCGAGGGGACGCGGGGGGTGTGCGACCGTGTCGGCGCGAGCCGGGGGCCGGAGCGGAGCGGCGAGCCGGGGAGGAGACGCTCGAGACTTCCAGTATCCCACAGAGCACTGGGGCGAGCCCGGCAGGAGCAGACCTCTCTTCCTACCACAGACGCCCTCCCGCCCCCGGCGCGGCCGCCCGTCAGCCGCGGCCCGGGCGAGCGTAACTTCGCGAGATCGCGGCCTGGGGAGGCGCCCCGCGGCCAGTGCGCATGCGCGCTCCCGCCTCGGCCCGGCCCGGCCCAGGAAGAGAGCGGCCGCCGAGTGCGGCGGCGGGGGCGCCACCGGAGGGAAGCGGGTGTGGCTCTGTCTGCGGGGGCTGGGCCGCTCCCGGCGGGGCGGAGGCCGGGGAGGAAGGTCGTCCCGCGGGACCCAGGGCTCCGCCGGCTCGCCGGTCGGGCGGCGAGGCGGTGCCAGGCTTGACCTGCCTCCGGGCCTCGTCCGGGCCGCGCGAGGCGTCTGCCCAGGGCGGAGGGTTTTCCTATTGGCTGCGTGATTTGAATGGAGTGGACACGGGTCGAGCCTTAGGTGCTTGTGGGTGCTCTCTCGGGCGAAGCCGGGCGGCGCAGTCCGGACGAGAGCGTTTTAAATTGGGGTTTCTGCGGGCCCTGGTGGCAATGACCGAGGTGACCCTATACTGACAGGGCATGACCTACGGTAACTGCGGTGCCTTCCTGCTAACACCCTCTGCAGAAATGTCTTTCCTCTTAGGCTGGCTTGTTGTTTTGTTTTCTTCTGTCTCTTGAGCCTGTGTTGATCCCTCTTCCTTCATGGCTTTCAGCCTGTGTGGCACTGCCCATGAGGTTAGCTCAGCCTTGTTAACTGGTCCTGACCTTTTAAGGGATTTATGGTTCCAGCTCCATTGCTTTCTATGGAGTAAAGACCCGGCTGCGTCTAGAATTCAGGAGGAATGTGGATGAAGGCAGTTAATTCGACCGGTATTTATCGAATACCTGCCTAGTAAGTCGTAACCTTCTAGACACTGCAAATACAATAAATATAGTTTATTCGAACCCATTTCTTAAATTCGCGTGCTGTAAGAGACATTATCATAAAAGGGATTTTAATTTTGCTTTTAAAAACACTCTCTGTCCCACACACTTTAGATCTATAATGTCATAAAACCCTACCACTGAATGGAAAGTTATGGGATCCTTTAGACTGTGCTCCCAGACAAAATAAAACAATTGCAGTTCTGGTTTAGGCTTGCTGCTCGTCTCTGTGTCCCCCTTCTACCACCACCTCCCAGTCCTGGGAATGGAACAGTGAAAAGTTACTTTCTTACTCCCAGCTTGTTGCGGTTCTCGTAGACTACGTTACAAAAGTTGAGTAAAATCTGCTTAGGAAATCACCTTCCTCTTAGAACTGAATACTCTGAACTTTAGTTTGAGGAATAGTAATAGACTCCAAGCAAGGATAAAAATACTTCCTTTGAAACACGAAAGGAGTTGCCGAACATTAAATGTACCAATGTGTATTCATAAAATATGCCAAAGATCATAGCATCAGACCTTTGCATAGCAGTGATAATAATGTAATGGTGTTGGTAGTAATTAGTAATCTCCCCCACCCTCAGAAGACGAGGTTTCTCTGTGTAGCCCTGTCTGTCCTGGAACTCAACACTTTGTAGACCTCGAATTCAGGGATCCACCTGCCCCTACCTCCCTACTGAAATTAAATCCATGTGTTACCACCACTAGGCAGGGCAATGGATTTTCTTTTCTTTTGGGGAGAAGGGAGGGCCTTTTTTGGAGACATGGTTTCTCTGTGTAGCCTTGGTTGACTTGGACTCACTTTGTAGACCAAGCTGGCCTCAAACTCACTGTAATCCCAGCACTCAGGGAGGAGAGGCAGGCAGATCTCTGTGAATTTAACACTAAAATATGAAGTCTCTTTGCACAGATACATCCCTCTGAAGAAAGAAAGGAATTGAAGATAGCCTTGTCAGCTCCTCCATCTACCTAGAAAAACTTTTCTTTGTTTTCCAGGAAGGTTCTGATGTACTTATTAGCTCTTAAAAAGTGCTACTGAAAAATACATTCATTAGTATCTCAAGTTTTCATTTGGACAAGAGGAATTCAGTAAGAGGTATGCCATTTCTGATCTAAGCAGTTGTTTCAGGATATAAAAAAATAATACAGGAACTCCATAAGGAGAGCAACAGAACCAAAAAATCTGAGCACAGGGGTCTTTCCTGAGACTGCTATTCCAACCAAAGACTATGCATGGAGATAACCTAAGACCCCTGCACAGATGTAGCCCATGGCAGTTCAGTATCCAAGTGGGTACCATTGTGATAGGAACAGGAACTGTCTCTGACATGAACTGATCGGCCTGCTCTTTAATTACCTCCCCCTGAAGGGGAAGCAGCATTACCAGGCCACCGAAGAGGACAAGGCAGCCACTCTTGATGAGACCTAATTGAATAGGATCAGAAGGAAGGAAAAAAAGTCCTCCCCTATCAGTGGACTTGGGGAGGGGCATGCATGCAGAGGGTGGAGGAAGGGAGGGATTGGGACGGGAGGAGGGAGGGAACCACAGGGGGGATACAAAGTGAATAAAGTGTAATTAATAAAGAAAAAAATAATACAAAAACAATAGTTTAAAATGAAACATAATTAAGTCCAATTCCCCAAAGAATATAAAAAAAAATGGAAATCTCAAACTTTAGGCTGTTAACTTACCCAAACTTCATTGAATTTAGCTTGTCTTCCTCCATATTTTTTAAGATCAGGCAATTCTTACAGTTGCTATCTGTTCTGTCATATATACATATGTGTATTTAAATATATATATAAAATATATGTATTAAAAAGTTGTGCTCATTTTTGAATTAACTATTAATTAGGTCTTCAGTATATTACTATATATTTTATATAATTATAACAATATATTAATATTTAAGTATGATATATATTATATATATATTGTATACATATGTACTGAAGACCTAAAGTTAATTGAAAAATAAACACAACTTTTTATTAGAACATACAGAAAGCAATCATTTCATATTATCGTAACTACTGAGTGATTGGTCTAATCAGTCAGAAGTTGAAGAAATAGAAATATTTTCATTTCCTTATGACCTGTATACAAGTTAGACTGTAGGACTGCAATACCTTCAAGGCAAATGAAATGTTAAGATGGAAGCACATGTGGTTAAGAACCTACACAAACATTTACAGTCGGGGTAACAAAAATATTTAGTTCCACTCAAGGAATTGGCCAGAATCAACAATGAACCGCCTGAGCTTGCTTTGGATTACACTTAAACTCATCTCTAGTTCTAGACCATAGCATCTAACATCTTTGGCCTCTGTGCAAGGTCTCAGCGCAGTAGCCCTTAAACTACACTAGGATGGTTAGCTTTCCTCATGCTCTTCAGGTCAGATTTTCTGCTATTTGACGCTTTATCCCAAAGGCCTAATCTCTAACTTTAGTTACAAGTATTAATTACTATGTCCATGAACCAACTACATGGGTTTCCCCAAACCTGGAAATTAAATGAGTATCTGGCAGTCATACAGAATGTAGGTATAGAGGTGACTGAAGAGTAACATATTGCTATTACACAGCTTCCAACATGTTTCATGTCCAGTATTGGAAAGCAAGTAGCCATTAAGATCAATAATTTTCACATATGTTAACACTTTTTTTCTTTACCAAACTCAAGAACCATAAATACTATCATTAATGGTTTATTTAACCCTTTTAGAACTTAAACAGAATTATTTTAAAGAAAATAGGCTGCTTTGGTAAGTAGAAAACATTCCCTATAGTCATAAATAGAAGAAGACCATGAAAGCAAAACAGTGTTATTCTAGTGAGGTTGCCTATCATGAATTTGACATCAGCCTATTAATTTATAAATAAAAAATTATTAAGGGTTGGGCATACCAAGATTTGTCTGATTAGAATAATTAGGAAGATTGAAGGTTCTTGAACAGAGTAACTTTTCTTGTGAAGTCAGTTATTTAATGTTAAATTTAGCTAAAATTACCTGCTATACCACACACCTGCCTGTTCAATACCTTGGAAAACTACTGGCTTCAACTGCCATATGTAACAATGATTTGAGAAGGTTACTGGAGGGACTTCATAGCATGCCTGCCTGTTTCAGAGTATTAAGACAGCCACTGGAAGAAAACCTTATGTGAAAGTACTTATTGCTCTGAAAGAAAAGCTAACAAATTTCAGAACTAACATCCAGAAAGAGAATTTAAGGGCATGAACTGTCTGGAGATGCCAGTATTTAGTTGAGGGACTAGCTTAGTTGTTCTTGTTTTTTTTTTTTTTTTTTTTTTTTTTTTTTTTGTTGTTTGTTTGTTTTTGAGGCAGGGTTTCACTATGTAGGTCTGGCTGTCCTGGAACACACTATGTAGAACAATCTGGCTGCCAACTCACAGAGATCTACCTGATTCTGCTTCCCAAGTGCAGGGATTAAAGGTGTCCACCACTACGCCAGCTTTTACTATTCTCCTTAAATTCCAGGAAAATCGTCTAAATTGCCCAGGATAAGATCAAAATGTTCAGTGATAACAGACATTCCATCTCCTTTAAGCATGCTCACTAGTCTCAGTTTTGGTAGGTATGAATAATAATTAAGGGGATACTATGTACAAGAAAAAAAAAAGTTCAGGTTTTTGTTTTCTTGTGTTTGCTCCCTTTCCTTCCCTTACCCAAACAGATAGCAATTCTGCTTCCTTGCCTCAGGGACCTTCAGTGGTTGGGAAGAAAGCAGAAGTGGCTTTCAAAACTATTTCCTTCCTAGCTTGAAATGGCCACCTCTAAATTTCTATTAAGAATTTGGGGCCATTAATATGGTTGCAATTAGCATATGAGACAGTTAGAAACCTATTGGAAATACATTTGCATACTATTAGATTTCGATAAAATAACATTTTCTAAATTTGTTTTCCTTGCCTTACAAATATGTCAATTCATAGTATCATAGGTTGTTATTTTTAGTTA